TTTCTTCTTGCCTCCTTTCTTTTTCTCTCTCTCTCTCTCTCTCTCTCTCTCTCTCTCTCTCCCCCTATTGCTTCATCTCTCTGGTCTTTGCATTTTTCTCTTAGCTTTTCTTTTTAAATGTGCACCTCCCCAAGCTTTTTATAGGTTTATTTAGCCTTCCCATAGCTTGACCCAGTCTAGGGCAATGGGCCCTTTTCTTGTTCACACCATATACTGTTTTTGAGTTACAAGTTTTGATATACAGTTTTTTTTGGTTCCTTCGTTCTCTAAATTATATCTTCTCAATGCTTACCATTGTACATTATCTGTCGACCTTTGGCTGGCTTCCCAGCTTTAAAATAGCCTCCATATTGGTGTATATAATGCTTTATTAATATGAGCACTTTTTATTGTTCAGTTACTGTTATGATTATTGATGTGTTTTTTGTTCTACTTTTTCAATAAATCTTTTGTGAAAGAAAACCACATGGAAGAAGACTGATTCATTTTGTCTAATCTTCAATTGTTCTGTAAACCTTAAGCTTAGTTCTGTCATCTCCCACTATCTATCATATCATATTGGTCAAGGGGGATGAGTATCCAGTTGCAGGACTTCAGCTACAGAAATGGGCAGGACCAAGCTTCAGTTTTGCGTTGAAAGTTACGATTTTAATAATCAGCTTTATATATATATGTATCTGTTCTTTTGACAAGTGGTTTTCAGGTAGTTTTTACTAATTTATTGTTCATGTGCTCAGTTTGATTTACAAAGGTTTGTGACATTTACTTTGTCAGAAACCTGTACTGAGGATTTTTAAAATATGATAATTTTTCATCAAAACAATTGTTGTCTAACATGACCAAGTATGCCACCTTTGATTTTTTTTTTCTTCTTTTTATATTTTAAATAAATGCTTTCTGTTTTAGATGGTTTCACCCAAATATAAATGGACTAGAAGCTGAAACTCTCCTCTTGACAAATGGAGTCCATGGGAGCTTCCTGGCTCGTCCCAGCAAAAGCAATCCAGGTGACTTTACCCTATCAGTCAGGTAAGATTGCACCAGGGTGTTTGGAAGAATCACTTTCTGCTGGCCATTATACATTTAGTGTTCTGTAAAAAGGATGTTTTTGTAAGTTGCTTAGGACAGTAAGACAACACTCTCACCCCAGCCTGAGATGTGCAGAGCTGTTTAGGTGCATTGATATTTATTCCCCTAGAAGGTGTAAAATACATCCTGAAAGTTCCCATAGACAATGCTGGATCAGGCAAATATCTGATGTCTGTGGGGAAACCTATGATGGCAGTTTTCACAGCAAATAGTCATCCAAATGATTAGAATCGCTGTTGTTTTCCCACCAGTTTATTGGGCACTTGGAATGTCTACATAAGGAGTAAATTAACCCCTTCATGACTGAACTAGTTTTCAGGTTCTGTTCATAAATGACTGACACATTTTTTACATTTTTGCTGTGTGATTCTTCCACAGCAGTAATATACTTTCTTACTAAATGTACCCACACATATTATATATTGTTTTTTAGAGGACAGATAGGGCTATATAATTATATCACATATGTGTACCTAACCCCTCACTTAGTTTGAATAAAATAAAAAAATTAGGAAAAAAACTAGAAGAAAACACTTTTTTCACAAGTTTTGATTATTATTTTTTTTTTAGAATTTTTTTATATTAATTATAGTATAAAAAATATATTTATATATAATTTATATTTTCCTAATTTTGTTTTACACTTTATTTTAATTTTTTTACACTTTGTAAAAAAAATAAAAATAAAATAAAAAAACTTTTTTTTTTCTTGTCAGTTTATATCAAGCAATCACTATGACAGCTTGATAAATTAACTTTTTTATTTTATTTTTGGCTATTAGGCTGATCCAAACTTAGGAACAGCTAATAATAACCTTAGAGACTGATCCTGACTTTAGTCAGATTCAGATCTCACTAAAAGCTCTTTGATCGTGCCTAGACGATCAGAAATGATACATTTCACTCAAAAGATATACATTGTATCTTTTCAGTGAAATGTATCTAAACATCGGGCTCTCGAGCTGTCAAAACAAATAGCAGAGAGGTGAGGTGAGTCACTGCTGCCTCTCTGCTATTTTGAGCTGTCAAATACGGGATCGCAAATTGCGGTCCTCTATTTGCATGTAACGGCTTCATTCTTTCATTAATGAAAGGAAGAAGCTTTTACAAAAAGCTTAATTATTTCATTAATTAATGCCTCAATACTGAGACATTAATGAATGACTGTTAAATGCTGAGAATCAGCAAATACCGGCATTACAAAGCCTGATATAACTCGTCACGTACAGTGTACGTGGCCAGTCATATAGGCACAAAGTGACAAGACGTACACTGTACGTCTCCCGTCACGAAGGGGTTAAAATGCGAAAACTGAAGGTTAAACTAAAGTAAACTGATGTAAAAGTGTCTGAACCCCACATATTTTGTGTTCTGTTTTGGTTGGAGTGGATAGAACTCCATTCTCCACTATTTCTTTACCTATGTCTCGTAGTGAGATCTTTGCGGTCAATGACACAGCTATGGGGAATTCACTTGCTTCAGTGATAGCTGGGCTGTCACTGCTATAGGGGTAAATATACAGTAATGCTGAGGTCCTCAATGGCTGTAAAAGTCCCACAGGAGATTAAACGCTGTTCCTAGAAACTTTTCTTGAAAGAAGCTTAAGGGCTGCCATTGTTGCCCTTTTTCCGATGATGCTGGTTGTTTGCCAACCCTCACCAACTGACATTACTTGTGACCGACAACTAGTATGCATATCAGGAAAGTCAGAAATCCTTATTTGTTCCAGCACAGTGTTGCATGTTATTGAAGCAAAAGGGTCACCATGAAAGCCAGGCAACTAGTAATTGCAGATAGTTAAAGCCTATTACCAGATACAATTAAAAAAAAAAATCTCCCATTTCAGTGGGGCTACCTTTGCACTGCAAGGGTTAACCGCTCATTTTTGTCTAGGGGCATAGTTTAAAGTTTTACTTACTCTGTCCCCCACTGCCCTGATAGTCAGCGCTCACCTCTCTCTGCTCCGCTCCTGCTGGGAATGTCCCTTGGCATCTTCCCCTCTAGTGCCAGGCTATGGCCTTGCATTAGACATGATGACATCAGCAGGGCCCCAACCGCAGGAACAGATGAGGGCAAGAGGCTGAGTTCCCTGGTCTTGGAGCCAGCACAAGCGGGGATCTGGTTGATAAAACTGTTTTAAAGAATCATCCTAAATAAAAACAAGCTGTTAACACTTGCAGTGCTAGAGTAGCTGTACTGCAAGGGGATTTATTCAGAGATTTTTTTTATTCAGAGATGGGCTTTAAATAATGGCAGCCTCCATGTTTTTCTCATTAAAAATTAACTTTAAGTTACCATATTTGCAACCTTCAGCACCATCTGCTGGTCAGATATGGTGACATTATGTGATGACAAAACTAGGTTGGCGGTCTGTGAGCCCCTCTGTATGTGGTCAGACTTCAGTGCCCATCACTGAAAAGGACCCCCGGAAAAACAATAGTAAAAATTTAATTGATTAGATGTGCAGAAGGGAAGGACATACTTAAATCGTAAGTCCAATGTAAAGGCAATCTAATATTTCATAAACAATAACATGCAAAAATACAATCAGTTAATTCCTTTCCATTCTCTCATTTGAATGGGAGCCTATCTAATACGCAGAGTAACTGTATAAAAAGGAAATTGAGTGCAAGCCCCACAGCTATAGTGGGCTGACCCTTCACCATAAACTTAAAATATATGTAAAGCAATGTTTTCATTTAAACATGTAGACATTTTGGATCAGACATAGGTACATTTTTTCTGCCTTTTGAACCCTTAACTGCTTTAGAAAGCAAGTTCCATGATGGCCCAGTTGCGCATCATGTGGCCATGCATTTTACGTTGTTAGAACCTGTGTCAGTAGAGTCTTCATTTACTTTCACTGAAGACTTTACTGAAAGTGACACTAAACTCAGTAGTTAAATCTTAAAGATGTATTCAAGTACCTTATCTATTAACAAAAATGTATCCTATTTGTGTATCACTCAGCTGTAGATCCTCAAATCATCTCTGAATTGGTGATGACACTGTCCTTCCTTCTGGAGGGGGGCTACTTTTCTTCCCCATGGTCCATGTGTGTATTGTAAAGTAGCCACCGCTCCAACCTTGCTCCTGTGTTGGACTACAATCTTACGTTTTGTTTACTAATTTGTATTAAGATTGTTGTCCATCACGGGAGTGAGCTTGGAGCAGTGGCTACTTTACAACACACACAGGGACCATCGGGAACAAGGTACCTGCCAGAAGGAAGGACAGGGTCGGCGTGAATTTGAGGATCTTGATGCACAAATAAGATACATTTTTGTTAATCGTTAAGGTACTTGAATGTATTTTTAAGATTGAACTCCTGAGTCTAGGGTCACTTGATATCAGTTCCCTGCTGACGAAACTCTAGGTCACATGACCTTGAACCAGGGCACAACAGGACCTGCTTTTTCCAACTTTAGTGTGTTTGCTGCCCTTAACACTGCTATCCTCCAATCCTGTTGCCTTCTTGTATGATTAAAGTGGACCTAGCTTTATCACAAATTTCTGCTTTAAAGAAGTACTCCAGGATTTTAAAACTTTACCCCCGCACTGCAAGGGTTACCCGCTCATTTTTCTCTAAGGGCCAGAAAAAAGAAGATACACTTACCTGATCATCGGCCCTGGCGGTGGTAAGTGCTCACCTCTCACCCCCTCCACTCTGTGGTATGTCCCTTGGCATCCTCACATCTAATACAAGCCAATGGACTGTATAAGATGTGATGATGTCAGCAGGGCTTAGACCGCTGGAGCCCGGGGGAGAAGAGGCTGTGGGAGCGGTCTAGCAGCCAGGCGGGACAGAGTGTTTCTTTCTTATTCTAATTGCTTTAAAAAATAAAAATAATTATTTTGAAACGTTAACCCTTGCAGTGCAGGGGTAGTCCCGCTGCAAGGATTAACGTTTCAAAATCCTGGCGTTTTCTCTCCATCGCTCGAAAACTAAACTAAAAGTCAGATGCCGGCTTTTAGTTTCATTTTCGAGCCGCGTACAGCAGAGGACGCTGCGGGCTCGCAGGGACAAGGTAAGTGTCACTTTTCTGTGCAGCCCCGAGTCTGGCTCGGGGTTACCGATCCTGGTATGGAAAATTCACCCCGAGCCAGACTCGGGAATACCGCCAGGGAGGTTAAAATATGGCAAGGAAGGTCATTTTGGGCACATGTACTCGACTGCTAAGCGGCAATTTTAGATTCAAGTAGTGCTTATTGGAGTTCTACTTTTAACATATTCAAAGATTTGCATACATGTAATGCTAGAACGATATTTCAGAAAAGCAGCTGAGCTCAGCATTCCTTGGTAATGTGGCTATATCTGTCTATGGGCAGTACATGCAGTGTCATCCTCACACATTGACCTGTTTCTGACTTGTCAAGTTCTCGGTCATACAGATAAGATTCTAGATAGTGAACATGTACAGCATGCCAGAAATACAGAATCAGCCTGTATAAGTACAATATCTGCTTGTTTTATAGCGAACGCTCCCTGTCATGACCACCCTGCCCCCTTGTAATAATGATCAAAAGCCTTGTAATGTCTTAAGACATGATGCATGGCTGGTGATGTGACCCTGTGTCTAGGTATTTTCTTACCTGCTCTGAGCCGACGGGGCTTAGGAAGTAATGTTCAAGCAGAATTGGCCGGTCAATGCTTCTGCTTAAACAATGAAATTCTTCTGAGATCATTATATTATATACTTTTTTTCAGTGCTTGCAAAAAAATGTGTATTTTACAAACAAATGTTTAATACGGGGTGATTCTATAGTTCTTACTTTGCAGAGTTTTCTGAGCTCACTAGTCCAGTGTGCCCCTTTTACTTGTTGACTGCCTCTAAAAATCTATATGGGTCTGTATGAGCTTATTAGGAGGGAGGGAGTATTTTCCTTCTTTGGCTCATTCAAATGGACCGAAAAAGCTGGAGACCAATTATTGGGCTACT